CGCGACAAAGCTTCCACGGTAAGGCATAGCGGGAAGCGAAGGGATAAGGACGAAGTGGCGATTGCCGTTGGCTCTCCTGCGGAGAATATTCAAACGAAAATCCTTGGTTTCTCGGTTAAAGAGGAGAGCATAGAGACAGTGTTCGGTGCAGCCCAGCAACGATCGTCTCGCGTATAGTTCACGGGACGTAACGAGTGATCGAAAGTGCTTTGAAACGAGAGAGTGTTGGATAGTCGCATCTCGGTAGACGTGCTAAGATGTCAATGATGACGTCTTCGGGAAGTAACGTAATCAGAGACGACGATGGCGTCTTCTTCTTTGCACTAATTTTGGATGACATCTCCACCAGATGATCAACAATCACCCGACCTCAGAAAGAAAAAGCACAAAACCCTAATTACCTTTGCTTCTAGGTTAGATTCTAAACTCACAATAACAAATGGAAAAAAGATTAATACAGTATATATAACTAAATAAAACGGTAGATCTTCAGGCTCGGCTCAGTTATTTGGTCGGTCGAAAAGACCGTGCCAATACGCACGTACAAGGTTTTTTGGTGCAATTAATCTTCCTAATTTTTTTTTAAATGGGAGTAAATCATTTAACCAAATAAAAACAACAATGGTTTTCAAACCAACTAGATACGAATGTTGCATGAGAGAAGCCATGGCATGATCTTTCTGTATTTTTGAACAAGGAGGATCGATCTCGCTATGTTTTTGGAATAGTTTGTCATAGACTATCTTTTTTTTCTTAAGTCTCGATGAACCATGAATGTTGCATGAGAGAAACCATGGCATAATATGTATACTGTAAACAATTCTTTCACTCTGAGTTTGAGAGAGAACCTGTTAAAGAAAAGAGCTATTCATGATCCTGCTTCGAGTAAATGATAATCAAACACTTTGATCCAAAAACACTAAATGATTGGTATATATGTCTCCTCTAACACTCAAAACACTCAAGATCCAATTTTAAAGATCAATAAAACTAAGTTTGGTGTTTTTTCTTTACAGAATCATTTTGGAAATTTTATCATCGCTCTACCAAAATCCCAACAAGCGAATGAATCACAACAGATCCAGAAAAAAAAGTTGCTCTTTTTGATCTTCGTGAATGTTGCGAATTGCAGCAGATATTTTCTTGCAGTCAAACTCCATAGTCTTCATCCAATTTTCAAAATCTCTATTTCCTGTCACAAAAACAGAGATCCACCATGAACGAACGAACATACAAGACAACCTTAAAGAAGACGAAACAAGATTTTGTTTTTTTTTTTGTCTAAAATTTGAAAAGATGAGAAACGACTTTTTTTGGAAGAGTTAAACGACGCGAAGTTTTTTCATAAATAGTGTAAACATCACGACATCACACACTTGCACTTACGTTTTCTTGTTTCAAAACAAGAAGTTACTTGAACTGGTTATCAAGAAATTGGTTATCTTCAACTTCTTCTTTGTTTACTCTGCGGTTTTCCACTGTAAACTCTGATTCTGATGCTTTGATTGATTCTAATTTCTTTGGGATATTTTTTGTGGGGATTTTATTTACTGTAACTTGACCACAAGGTGTACTTATGGAAAGGCTTATGAAGCAAAAACCGTAACAAGCTTTGCTTGAAGTCTATGAAACTAAAATGTTAAAAGATGTGAAGCTCTCACCTAAAATTCGTTAAAATCCTAAATGTGAAAAATGAAAAGAAAGAAATCAAGAACCCAGAAGTCTATATATGTTTTTCAATTCTGATCAATTTGTTTCTAATGAAAATGATGATATTTCGCAGTTGGTGTGGAACTAATCCGTCATTGAAAAAGTGAGCCAGTATTGCCAACAAGAGAGTAACTTAAACTACAAGTTTGAGAGATGTGGTCAATTAGGCCATAAGGAATCTAGATGCCTCTTACTCGCAACCAATAAAATAGCACAAGGATCTCCCTCAGTCACTAATATTGCTGATTCTACTACAGCCACAGTTACTTCAGTCGCATCATTTGGTGAGGCAGAGCCATCAACGCCAACTCAGATCAAAACTGATACTACTGCCTTCGTAAACGCCATCACTACTACACCAACAATAGCCACGAAAATGGCTACCCCAATTGAGAACGTTTCAAACACTAATGTGTCGAGACGCACTTCTCCCATCACCGTGGAAAATTCTTCATTTGGTACTCCTCCTAATTTGGTAATGATCTCAACTCCTCCTCAAGCAGATTCATTGGCTAATGAAGATGTGCAAGGAAATGTTTTTGGAAGCAATCACTTTGCTCTAGAATCGGGAGTTTATACCGGTTTTGAGATGGGTGATTCATCTCTTAAGACCAGAGGAGGAAGGAAAATAAAGCCTTAAAAAAAAATCCAAGAGATGCAATGGACCATGGTAAATGGACGAGGTAAAAGAGGCTGTGGTTCAAAGTGTTGTCGTAACTGGTTTGTAGAACCTCAAGTTATCAAGATAAGGGTTGTGGTTCTTGGCAACAACAATGATGAAGTCAGTACATGAAGTGTCACAGTTTCTGAGATATAATAGAAGAGACAGAGCTGTCCAAGGGCTATACGTACTACGACAGAGTGAAGCAAAACCAGTACATGAAGCAAAGGATGATCTGTATGTTTATTTATGAGGATATTTAGTACGTGTGTGTAAAAGGTCATACTACGGTTGTTCAAACCAGAGTTAATATAGAAGCTGAGTGAAGATCAAGCCCTGGTTTGCAGGACATAAGGAGTTGCTTCAGAGAGCAACATATATGCATTCATATCAAATGAGAAGGTCTGTGTTCAAAAGCAGCAGGAAGCACATTTGAAGACTACCTAGAGTGGAACAAGAAGCAAATGTGCAACGCAGCAGAGACGTAGAACCATCTGTGTCGGAGAGTCTGCACTCTGCAGTGGTGGAATAGGAAGCGTGGATGCCTAAAGCTAAAACGATAGCTGACGTGTCAAGTGTTGACGTGGTAAGAGGAGAAAGACTCACACAAAAGTCAAGGTTTGACTAGGGTTTTGGATGAGCTCAAAGAGGGTGCAATCTAAAGAAAAATACACATCTTGAGTTCTATTACGAGAGGCACACGTTGTGTGTGTGGTGTTGTCCCACCAGAAGAAATTGTAAGATCTAAGGGTGGTTTGTGTTTTAGAGCTATACCTATTGAAAAACAGAATAGGTGGTAGTGGCTATAGAGATTGTAAATCTAGAAAAGATTGGTGTGGGTGTCATATAGCAATTGTAGGTTGCGACTTTTTCTAGTGAATCGATTCCAGACAAGGTCCCGGGATGTAGGTTCAAACTGAACCTCGTTAACAAATGTCTATGTCTCTTTACTTTATGCTTTTCACTTCTATTATGCCGTTGCATCTCTAAAGTATATAGTTTTAGCACAAATCTGGGTATCCCTGTTTTTAAAATAAATAGTGTAAACATCACGACATCACACACTTGCACTTACGTTTCCTTGTTTCAAAACAAGAAGTTATTTGAATTGGTAAAGAATATGACAGCCACCACAAAAATTTGGTTATCTTCAACTTCTTCTTCGTTTTCTCTGCGGTTTTCCACTGTAAAATCTGATTCTGATGCTTTGATTGATTCTAATTTGTTTGGGATATTTTTTTGAGGGGATTTTTTTACTGTACCTTGACCGCAATGTGTACTTATGGAAGGCTTATGAAGCAAAAATCGTAGCAAGCTTTGCTTGAAGTCTATGAAACTAAAAATACAGTAAAACCTCTACAAATAAATAATGTTGGGATCATGATATTTTATTAATTTATCGTGATATTAATTTATCTATAAAGAAAATTTGCTTTACTTATATAATTTTTTAAAAATCATTTGGAATAATGTTATATTTTAAAATTTTAACGAATCTCATAATATAAATTATGATAAAAAGTCATAACTATCACAATAAAATAGTTTTCACCATATTAGATTGTCTATATAAAAATATACATATTCATAAGTTTAAAAGTTATAAAAAAAAACTATGACTACTATCAGTATTATTGATGATAAAATTAAAGATAACACTGCAATACATTTAAAAATATTTACATATAAAAAAATAAATTATCACATCAAAATATATCATAAATTTTGAATGTATATAGTAAAACAGCAATAAGAACTACTGATATAATAATTAGAGAGATGCGAACCAATGAGATTTCAACTTTAACTAAAAACAAACACATTAGTCATATTTTAGAATATTAAATTTACATATATTTGCATAAATTTATATAATTATTAATTTATTTTTTTGTTGGGATCATGTATTTACATAAGGGTTTCAAAAAAAATTATTATCTTATTATCTTATCGAATTTGATGGATAAATTTATTAATTTATAGTGATTATTAATTTATCGAGTATTAATTTATAGAGGTTCTAAATGCAAAGCTCTCACTAAAAATTCTATTTAAGTTTCGTTGAAATCCGAAATGTGAAGAATGAAAAGAATGAAATCAAAAACCGAGAAGTCTATATATGTTTTTCAATTCTGATCAATTTGTTTCTAATGAAAATGATGATATTTCGTAGTTGGTGTGGAACTAATCAGTTAATGAACAAGTGAACCATTATTGCCAAAAGAGTAACTTAAACTACAAGTTATACGAAGAAAGAGTTCTTTTATCAAACTACAACAGCTAAAGCTTTATTATTCCAGTACAAAGTCACACCAGTCAAAACATGAGCACACCACTCAACTTTACCCCAAATCTCTCCTCGGTGTGTTTCCACAGAAATCTCCGCACAACAAATCTTCAAAGAGAATCTTTTAGGAAGAAACAAAACCAGTTTCTTACCATAACTCACAGTCATTGAAACAATTGTCCTGTCAAGAAACAAATCTTCCAAACCTTTCACCACACTCCAACACTTTTGCTTTGGATTATACGCTTTTATCTTGTTCTCGTCCGTATCGTGGTAGTACAATACGTCATCAACAACACACGCATTCACCTAAGCCTTAGAATTCAGCATATGGTCCATTTCTCATTTACTCTTCTTTGGGACGTAAATAAAGCTGTGCTTATCATCCCTCATGTACAGCTTATCAGCCATCACCACACAACCATACGACCACTTCCACATGGAGCGTAGCTCAGTGTCTATCTTTACAATCTCATGCTCCCACATTTGTGTTTCTGTATTGAACACCAACATCACCTTCTTCGATTCATAATCTCCAATTACGTAGATTCTCCCTTCAATGATGCCAGCGATTGTATTAGACATGGGCACAGGCATGCTTGGGAGGGTTTGCACCGTGTGAGATCTGCAGTCGATGCTTAACGTAATATCCTTCGGGTTCCCACCAAACATGTATATCCTCGGACCCACTGCGAAAAAGCTTCTACAATAATGCATAGCGGGAAGCGAAGAGAGAAGGAGCAATTGGCGATTGCGGTTGCGGTTGCCTATCTGGCGGAGAATATACAAACGTTCATGGCGTGTTTCTGTGTCATAGAGGACAACATATAGACAGTTTTCGGTGCAACCCAACAAGGATCTTCTCGCGTATATCTCAGAGGACTCAACGATTGATCGGAAGTGCTTAGAAACGAGGGAGAGTGTTGGATAATCGCATCTCTGTACACGTGCTAAGATGTCAATAATGACGTCTTCGGGAAGTAACGTAATCAGGGACGACGATGGCGTCTTCATTGCACTCACTTTGGATGACATCTCCACCAGATGATCAACAATTACCCGATCTCAGAGAGAAGAAGCACAAAACCCTAATTACCTTTGCTTCTAGGTCAGATTCTAAATCCACAATAACAAATGGAAAAAAGGTTGATATATAACTAAATAAATAAAATGGTAGATCTTTAGGCTCGGCCCAGTTATTTGGTTGGCCCAAATAACCGTGACAATAATACTCACAAGTTTTTATTTTTTGGTGCAATTAATCTTCCTATTTTTTTAAGAAAATGGGAGTAAATCATTTATCCAGAAAAATAAAAGAGTATTATGAGTAGATACCAAATAATATTATGGAAATTAACTCTTCAGATCCAGCATTATTCAAATGCATCTGTTCATTGACAATTTCCCATTAAACCCCTATTGCTATTATCCTTTCATCTATCTTCTCTCTCATTGAGTGGAGCCAAAAATAAGGAAAATGTGTTAGTAAATAGTTTTATCTCTCTTATATGCAACTGTTTGTGGTTTTCAAAACAAATAAGATAAAAAAAAATGACAGATTAGAGAGAAAGAAAATATTTCTTCGTTGAGTGAAACTTTTTCTTAGGATAAATCGCCTCAAACCAATTTTATATTGTTAACTTGGTTACTGACTCTTTTGTATCTTTCCGTCTAGCAATCAATGAAGAAGAATAAATATACGCTGTTAACATCATTATCATAATGTTTTTTGGTTTATGACTACTTTCCAGTTTAATTTATTACATTTATCATTGTTTTACAACATAATTGTTATCTCTTAGAATGTAAACGATAGGCTTATGTGGTTGGGTCTATTCCTTAGGGTTTCCCTTTGGAAGATTAAGTTTTGTTTTTAGGATATTCACCAAGGGATTAGTAGCATTTTTTACTCTTTAGCTAAATCAAGACATATAATATGTATGTTATCAAGTAAAGTTTATGTCGCGAATATAGTTAATGATTTTTAAATTAGTTAACAAAAATTAGAGTTTTATTGTTAACGATGCAAAGTAAAGTTTTATTTGTTCATCTTTTCACACCTTCTGATAACTATGTTGACATAAACGAGTTATCCACCATTTTTAAAGTTAGGGTTTACGTTGAAGTAATTGATTAGTGATATGGGGATAGAGTTAGGGTTTATGATGATGTTAGGGTTCAACAATCATACATTAGGTTTTCGATTTCAGTGGTAATGATTTTAAGGTTTATTGTTTAGGGTTTATTATTTAGGGTTTAGGGTTTACTGTTTAGGTTTACTTTTTATATGTATAGCTTTTACAGTAATCTATTATTTTACTCTGATGGATAACTTTGTTAACGATGTACTTGCTAACGACCCCTTGTTTTAAGTTCAGGTTTACCGTCAAAGAGTAAGGTTAATTGTTTGGGGATATGTTTTATACTGATTATGTTAGGGTTCACCATTCATAGGTTAGGGTTTAGATTTTTGTAGTAATGGTTTAGTGTTTACGGATTAGGTATAAATGTTAACGATAAGTTTACGTGGTTTGGTTTATTCTTTAGGGTTTCCCTTTGGAAGATTAGATTTTGTTTTTAGGCATATTCACTGATGGATTATTAACATTTTGTACTTTTTAGCTAAATCAAGACATATGATATGTATGTTATCGAGTAAAAGTTTATGTCGCGAATATAGTTAACGATTTCAGATTAGTTAACGAAAATTAGAGATTTATTATTAATAATGCAAGGTAAAGTTTTATTTGTTCATCTTTTAACATCTTCTGATAACTATGTTAACATAAACGAGTTATCCACCATTTTTTAAGTTAGAGTTTACCGTTGAAGTAATTGGTTAGTGGTATGAGGATAGGGTTATGGTTTATGATGATGTTAGGGTTCAGCAATCATACATTAGGTTTTAGATTTCAATGGTAATGGTTTTAAGGTTAATTTTTAGGGTTTTCTTTTAGGGTTTAGGGTTTACTGTTTAGGTTTACTTTTTATATGTATATCTTTTACGGTAATCTATTATTTTACTCTTATGGATAACTTCGTTAACGATGTACTTGTTAACAAACCTTGTTTTAAGTTCAGGTTTACCGTCAAAGAGTAATGATAATTGTTTGGGGATATGATTTATACTGATTATGTTAGGGTTCACCATTCATAGATTAGGGTTTACATTTTTGTGGTAATGGTTTAGTGTTTAGGGATTAGGTATAAATGTTAACCATATATTGTTAATGATATATTACAAGTAACCACCTGTCATTGTTAATGATAGATTACAACTTTCTGATATGTTTTTAGTGTTAATGTTTATTTTTTAGATAAATTCGTCAATGATAACTTAGTTAACCGTTTCAAGAAATGTACACACCCTTACCAATGTTCTTCTTTGTTTTGCACCGCACATTAATCTGGTTTATCAAATCTTTTTGCACAAGGCTATTTGACCCTCACTGACGAGCATTAAATACTGCTGTCGGCTTATTCTTTTGCTTGCAGGGACAAGTTGTAATGAGATCAAAGGAGAATAGGGGTAATACAGGAAATAATTGCTGATGTGGCAAATAAAACTTAATTTTTAACTTTCTTTTAGTATATAGTATATTAACTGGTCAACTTTTGGTATGAACCAAAATGACCCAAAACAAAATCAACAATGGGTTCAAACCAAACTAATTTGTTAGATACGAATGTTGCATGAGAGAAACCATGGCATCATCTTTCTGTATTTTTGAACAATGATGATCTTGCTGTGTTTTTAAACAAGGAGGATCTTTCTGCGTTTAATCTCATTCTCAACTTAAGTCTCGAGTCTCTAAGTATTTGGACTAGTTTGTTGATAGACTTTCGTTTTTTCCCTAAGTCTCGATGAACCATGAAGGTTGCATGAGAGAACCATATAAAAATTTAATATGCATACATACACTAGGAAACTCGATAAAAACTGTTATATATGCATGGCAACTAGTGTAATTACAAAATGTTCAAAAGAAATTAAAAAAACTAGTATAATTACAAGACTTCGGATCCAATTAATAACAACCACCAACATAAAAACTTTTTAAAGAAAAAGAAGAAAAAAGAAAAACTCTCTTGTAAAACTTATTTTGGATAGAAAACATATACAAATAAAAGAAGAATTCAACTGCCATTCAACTGCAATTTGGCTGATTTTTTTGGAATAGTCCAAAAAATAAGTGTATGAGTCCTTAGGGTAAAACCTGAATACTTTTCTTCAGCACAGAAATTCGAAGTGTTCTTCTTTTATCTATGTGATTTCAAAACTAAGCCATCGTATTTCTAGAACCATCAAGAGTAGTTAAACGAGTTTGAAATTTAGAACACCTCCAACCCCGAATTCATGATGAGGTTTTTAAGATTATTTTATTAATTTTTTTTTATAACTAAATTGTGAAGAACCTTATGTTTTTTTCTGCCTCCAACCCTGAATCCTATCATAGGGTTCTTAGAAATAAATTTATTTTTATTTTTTCATGTGAAGAAACACATGCTTTTTTGAAGAACAAGTTATACTGTCAAAGCATTGAATTTTTAATGGCAAGTGTTACAGCAAGTTTCAATCCAACTTCATTGTTTGATAACATTAGTCATACAAAATGGTTTCTTGCACCAAAATGGTTAAAACAGGTTGCATATGAAGCTGAATCATTTCTCTGATGCTCTGCCTCAGACCTTCACTCCTATCCGTTGAGCAACCTGCAGAACAAAACAAAATGAAACTCTTACGTGATGCTCTACTGCTTCAAGCATTTTGGCCAAATACTGCTTCCAGTCCTTTTCCATATGCCTTGCGACCAAAAAATTTAACAATACACACTTCTAGCAGAAAACATCTCGTCTCTTGACGCTTCTGATTTATGGAATTATGATTTCCTGAATTATAGAATTCTAACTCTGCTTCAAACTTCATGTTATGCACATCCAAACAAAATGCTAACTTCTTACATGTAAACTCGATGAGATTTAGCTCCTTTGATTACCCCAACAAGCTTTTCATCAACGGATTTCAAGTGATGTCGCTCTCCCACATTTTTTCCAGGAATCAACTCATCCTTAGCTTCAGAAGACGGAACACAGTCGTCACCACTCACCAGCAACATTCTTCTCCTTCACACTTAAAAACCGATACATGCTTGAGCATTGTACCATGCATCTGAGTATCACTTATCTGTGACACATAATCAAGTGATAATATGTACCTGTTTAAAATCAACAAGTCTCTGAAGGGCGACAATGCAATATATATACCAGCAAAGAGCAATCTGCACTGTCATCCTTGAGGTAAATTGCTGAAATATGTTTTATAATGTCAACAATAGAAGCTGGAGGTTGGCAGATCCATGAAAAATATCCTTCATCATAAGACTAATCACCTGCCTATATAAGCTTCTGGAAGACATGTAATTTCGCAAGAAGAAGTCAATAAACAAGCGCACAGACTTTCTGTACGTCTCTCTATTCTTTTCAGCCATCATAATGTCCAAACCCTTTCCGGTGAAAGCAGAATGGAAAATTTCAATGGAATCTGAGGCTGAGGAAAAGCAAAGGACGGACGGATGAGATCCTACTAAATGATAGGCTTTAAAATTTGTTTACGTTAAGCCTGGTATTTGGTTCAAAAGTAAAAAGATTGGAGATATGTCATATGTGCATGATCAGCAATAGTTTTTTGAATTTACTCTTACGTAAAAGCTTGAGCATCTTAGTTTTTAGACTTTTTTTGTATTAACTCTATTAGTTTCTCTGAAAAACCTATAATATTTATTGATACATAATTAAGACGTACCCATGGACATCTACAATTCAAATAGATTTCCGTATTAGTGCATCACTAATGCATATTCAACACTATTATAATTCATATTCGCAAACCAAACCTGTCAATAAAGAACTGAAAAAGCTATAACTAAGAAGGTTCGTATTGAGGTTCATATCACTTCAATCTGAAATTGAGTTCTTACATCTTTAAAAGGAAGACAAAGAGATGTATACTTCAATTCTTATTAAGCATCGAATTTTTTTAACATTCGCTAGTGTATCTACCGTTGTCTTCTCTTTACTAACTTATAATTCATACCAAAAAAAATATTGATCAAACTTTTAGCAACAATATATAAAGGTAAAAGTTAGTATTCTGAGAAAAAGTTCCGAAGATTCGGGAACAAATATTTTAATGTATCAGATGGTAGATACAAATATAAGTAGAATGACTTATCAATCCCCAAAAGAAGGATATCTATCATCGCATTTCACATTTCACATTTCACATTTCAATTATATTCCATTTCGCCACTGAACACGTTTTATATGTTTGTTTATAATAGTATTTATTTAGTGTTTGGCTCATTTACGTTGCCTTTTACTTTGATATATTATTTTAGTTAAAGGAAAGTAAGTTGTTTTGTTTTGAAACATTGGTAGATTCCTCCACTACTCGAGAACCTTTTGGAAAGATAGTGAAGGTCTGCCTGCTTAAATTATCTCTATGAATAAGGATGAAAATATAGTAATGTGGTATTGGTTCACCAAAAAGAGCATACTTTCTATGAATAAGGATGAAAATATTATATAGGTATAATGTAGTGCTCATACTTTGTTCTTAGAGTTCTTGGGAAATCATTCACTCATTTCAGAGTTAGGTCATAGGTGTGTATAACTTAGAAATAATTTATGATTAGTGGCTCTATTGAGAGAAGTACGTTTTAGCGCAGACAAAACATTGAAAAAATTTGCTTTGTTAAAATGAAGAATTACTTGGGAATGAGTAAGCTCAAAGCCATCACAAGAAGAGAGCGAAGAGCGACCGGTTCAAAGCGATGAGGGAATTAGAGATGGTAGACGGAGCGATGGAGACGCGATCTCTGGACGGAGGCTTAAGCGTCGGCCGCCAGGATTTAGTAGAAAAGAGCGACCGGTTCATAGTTTTTCTTCTTTAATTGAGCCTTGGTAATAAAACCTGGTTTATAATGTAAACCGTGCGGTCTAACCACTAAACTTCAAGCCCACTGAATACGATAACTAAAATCAAGCTCAAAGTAAGGTTGAAAGTAAAAATAACCTTGTAAGTTTACAATTTGCACTAGGTGGTCTAATGGCTGGTCAGTCAAGGTTATCTTAGTATTCAGGAAAATACACTTTTGTATTCTAACCAACAACAAAAACTGAAACAAGTTTTGGATGGAATCATTTGGTTTTGTACATCTGACACCTATCATTTCTCTCATTTCTTAAAAAAAAAAATTGACATCCAAATTATCAAGTGAAGTTCCATTTATACTAATATACGAGTGTGATGTATTATTCATACTAAAGGGAACGAGTTTACAAAGTTAACATCAAGTTTAATTCTAGAAAAACGGGCTAATTAAATACTATGGCACTAAGTGGTCTAAGTTTAATTTGGAGCACACCTATATATATATATATATATATTTGTTATATTGTGTTATATATATATTGTTATATAGCCAATAGATACTCAAATTCGACTTTTTTTTTAGTCACAAACGTGGAAGACAAAAAAGGAAAAAAAGGAAAGTTTTAGAGAACTCCTTCCGGCTTCCTCACAGACGAGGGTAAGTTTCTTCTTAAAAGGAAAAACAGGAGAGTTTTAGATGACTTCCTTCCTCACATGTGAGGTAGTAACTAAGAAACGTAAATGTTAAGCAACTTCAGATCGAAATAATCTATTTAGATTGGCATGCATAAAAGCTGAAGTTCCCCACGTCACTCAAGTGAGAAATTTTATCTCGGCGATTCTACTAGCAAACACATGCCGCAGCGCATCCTACATTTAGCCAGACCTTGAAAAAATTAGCCAGGGACTTCCAAAACGATTCAAAGACAAGCAAAGCAAAAATTTCACTAAACCAAGGAAACGCACACACAAATGAAGAAGAAGACGAACACTCACAGTGGAATTGTGTCAGATCATCTTCTCCAAGGTGTGCCTAAGTTCGAGCAATCCCTTGGCAGACGAGTATAATAACGATATTATACTCATCTTCTCCAAGTCACTTTTCTTCTCTTCTCTAGGGCCCGTTAATGAATATTATGAATAAAACTCAAGTGCTAATCTATCTTAGATACAAGTGAAGCCATTATTGCAAACAAGAGAGTAACTTAAACTGCAACTCTTTATCTTCCAACTAGGAGACACTTTGGCATGTAAAATGATCCAGAGTGCCTCAACTCCTTTTGCCTCAACATGTTACCAATCTGTACATTCAGATTTTCAGTTGGATTAGGGTTTTCGATTATATAAAAAAAAAGTTTCTAGAAAACTGATCTGAATTGTAATCGGACTCTATTCTGGTCATATAGACATTTGGGTGAAGCTGTACAAATTTGTTTTTAAAAAAAACAAGAACACAAGTTATATGAAGAACGAGTTCCTTTATCAAACTACAACGGCTAAAGCTTTACTCCAGTAAAAATTCACACCAGTCAAAACATGATCATACCACTCAACTTTACCCCAAAGCTCTCCTCCTTGACGTCTTTCCATCAAAATCTCCGCACAACGAACCTTCCAAGAAGATCTTTTACCAAAAAACAAAACCAGTTTCCCACAGTAACTCACAGTTCTTGAAACCAATGAATTTGTCGTCTCAGACAACAACTCTTCCAAACCTTTCACAACACTCCAACACCTTTGCTTTGGATCATAAGCTCTTATCTCGTTCTCATGCCGATAGTGGTAGTACAATACGTCATCAACTACACACCCATTCATCCACTTTTTAGAATTCAACATCTCGTCCGTTTCCCATATACTTTTCTTTGGGTCGTAAACAAAGCTGTTATAATAATCCCTCATGTAAATCTTATCAGCCATCACCACACAACGAAGCCACGTGTAAGCTAGGCCAAAGTCTATCTTTATAATCTCATGCTCCCACATTTGTGTTGCTGTATTGAACACCACCATCACGTTCTTCCCTCTATTATTATCGCAATATCCAATTACGTAGATTCTCCCGTTGATGATGTTAGCGGATGAATTAGACATGGGCACATGCATGCTGGGGAGGGTTTGCACCGTGTGAGATATGCAGTCGATGCTTAACGCAATATTTTTCTGGTCCCCACCAAACATATATATCCTCGGACCCACCGCGACAAAGCTTCCACGGTAAGGCATAGCGGGAAGCGAAGGGATAAGGACAAAGCGGCAATTGCCGTTGGCTATCCGGCTGAGAATATTCAAACGATAATCCTTGGTTTCTCGGTTAAAGAGGAGAGCATAGAGACAGTGTTCGGTGCAGCCCAGCAACGATCGTCTCGCGTATAGCTCACGGGACGCAACGAGTGATCGGAAGTAACGTAATCAGGGACGACGATGGCGTCTTCTTCTTTGCACTAATTTTAGATGACATTTCCACCAGATGATCAACAATCACCCGATCTCAGAGAGAAAAAGCACAAAACCCTAATAACCTTTGCTTCTAGGTCAGATTCTAAACCCACAATAATAAATGGAAAAAAATTTAATATATACAACTAAATAAAACTGTAGATCTTTAGGCTCAGCCCAGTTATTTGGTTGGCCGAAAGACCTTGACAGTACACAAGTTTTTTTTTTGCAATTAATCTTCCTATTTTTAAAAAAAAAATGGGAGTAAAGACCTTGACATCTTCGGTTCGTTGTCTCCTTTAGCATTTTTAATGAAAATAGCAGTTTTATTTAAAAATAATGCAAAAATTAAACCCTAACGACCTTTTCTTCTCCATTTCTACCTACTCACACTCCATTCATCATGTGAAGATTAACGCCTAATCTTCTACTTAGTTCTCGGTTAAGAACTTGAACACTCCGATTGAAAACGAATCGCGAACAAAAGAAGTATGAAGAAAGAAGAAGAAGAAGACACACAAGATTTAAGGAGTTCACGCCTTTAACTAGGACGCTACGTCTCCCCGGTGTAAACCCACCGGAATCCACTACTCACGGCAAACTCGCCTGAACAAGATACAGATCGTCTTTTTCTCTCTCTTCTCTCTCTCTCACTATAACGGCTAGTAACAGTAACAACTCTAGTCAATGAGAGAGGAGACTTATCCGAGCTTTATATCCAGCTCGGTTACACGTCATTGAATCTAAACGTATGAGAGATAGACACCTGTCTAAGTGGACCTACAACTTGAGACTCTCTACATGAACCAGAGTCTTCACAACACTTAAGCATATACCGCTTAAACTCCTTCTTCCTCTTAGCTCTGCATAAACTTGGAGCTTCCACTGATGATCACCGTCTATATCTTCAAATCTCCACCTTAGACAAGATCATCAGAACTTGGTGAAGTCTCTTGCATCCTTGACCGGACACTGCACCCTTTAACCGATTGCAAATCATTTCGTTCCAACCCGAAGCATTTCCAATGCTTCTTGTAACTTGTAAACTGGTAAGACCTTAGTAAACATATCCGCCGGATTGTAGGCTGTACTGATCTTCGATACTTGAACTTCTCCATCGCTTATAAGGTCTCGTATAAAATGATATTTGGTGGCTACGTACTTAGTTCTCTCGTGAAACACAGCATTCTTAGAGAGAGCTATAACACTTTGAGAATCACAAAAGATTTCAACAGAGTCTTGTGGAAATCCTAGCTCTTCTGCAAACCAAGCCACACACCTTCTCGTACAGCTTCTGAGAGAGCTACATACTCTGCTTCCGTTGTGGACAATGCAACGACCTTCTGCAATGATGATCTCCAGCTCACAGCATTGCCTCCTGCAACAAATACCATACCCGTGATCGATCTTCGATTGTCTTGATCAGCTGCATAGTCCGAATCAACATAACCCTTTACCACAAAATCTCCGTTATTCCTGTAGCAAAGCCTGTTCTTCACTGAACCCTTTATATAACGCAGTACCCACTTAACAGCCTGCCAGTGATCTCTGACTGCTTTGCTCATGAAACGACTAACCAAACCTATTGGATATGCCAAATCAGGACGGGTTCCTATCATCGAGTATATAATACTTCCCACTGCACTCTGATATGGAAACTTAAGCATATACTCTTGTTGATCCGCAAATTCCTTCTCTGTAGCGGATCGAAGCTTGAAATGTATCCCCAAAGGTGTAGCAACCGATTTAGCTTGGTCCATATCGAAGTTTGAAAAAATTCGCATCAGATAGTTCTCCTGAGATATCCAAAGACCTCCTGAAACTCTGTATCTGACTATCTCCATACCTAAGATCTTCTTTGCATCCCCTAAGTCCTTCATTTCAAATTCAGAATTCAGAAGAACCTTTAGCTTAGCGACTTGATCCTTATCAACTGATGCAATCAGAATATCATCCACATATAACAGCAAGTATATATATGATCCATTCCCCATCCTCTTGAAGTATACACACTGATCATATTCACTCCTGCTGTACCCACTCTTAGTCATGAACTCATCAAAGCGTAAGTTCCATTGTCTTGGAGACTGTTTGAGTCCGTATAAAGATCTCTTTAACCGACAGAATTTCTTTGGAAATTTCTGATCTACATAACCTTCTGGTTGTTCCATCACAATGAATTCATCAAGAAAACCGTGAAGGAAAGCCGTTTTAACGTCCATCTGTTGAAGTTCCATATCATAGTGGACCACCGCAGACAACAAGTATCTTATGGATACGTGTTTCACTACTGGGGCAAAGATTTCTTTGTAATCTATTCCTTCCTTTTGCGAGAAGCCTTTGGCCACTAATCTAGCTTTGAACCTAGGAGCTTCAACACCTACGATACCAGGTTTTCTTTTGAAGATCCTTCTACAAATGATAGCTTTCTGATTAGATGGTCTATCTACCAAATCCCAAGTTTGGTTTTTCTTAAGTGACAGCATTTCTTCATCAGCTGCTTCCTTCCACTTATCACTATCAGGATTGCACATCGCTTCTTGAAAGGAGGACGGTTCTGAGCTTCCATCTTCTGACATCAAGCATAAGAAACCTGCAAAATCACCTTCACCGTCTGTGGGATCACACTGGTAATCATCAAGCCTTGTTGGTCTAACAATTTGCCTTCTTGTTCTGTCCCTAGCAAGCTGATAATCTCTCAAATCCTGATTGTCAGCTTCCGGACTTTCTTCATCTCGTGTATTATCCACACCATCCGATTCATTAGGTGCTCCACCTTGAAGAACATCCTCTACAGGCTCTTGAGCATCTGTTAACTCAACAATATTTTGCTTCACTCCACTTGGACCTTCTTCACCCGTAGAATCGAATTTAACATCTTTGTAGACCTGATCCTCTCTGAAGACAACACTCCGACTGATTACCACTTTCTGTTCTTCCATAAGCCAAACCTTGAATCCCTTTACTCCTTCTGGATATCCGGTGAAAATTCCCTTTTTGGCTCGAGGGTTCAACTTTCCATCACTTGAGTGTACATAGGCTAGGCATCCGAAGCTTCTTAAGCCCTCAAGACTGGGCATTACTGATGTCCACAGTTCCTCAGGAATCTTGAACTCTATAGATGATGAGGGTGATCTGTTTATCAGATACACAGCCGTTGAAGCCGCTTCAGCCCAGAAACATTGTTCTAGACCACTTTCACTGAGCATACACCGAACCTTATTCATTATGCTTCTATTTAAACGCTCAGCCACTCCATTTTGCTGAGGAGTGTAGGTGCATGTTCGGTGTCTCACAATATCCTCATCCCTGCAGAACTGATCAAATACCTGGTTGCAAAACTCTAAGCCATTGTCCGTACGCAACTTTTTAACCTTTCTTTCGGTTTGAATCTCAACCATTTTCTTCCACTCAACAAAGCTTTTGAAAGCTTCATCTTTAGACCTTAGGAAATATATCCAAGCCTTTCTAGTGAAATCATCTATGAAGGAGATAAAATACTGTCTCCTACTTAAGCTTAAGGGAACATTTGGAGATCCCCACAAATCTGAGTGGATATAATCGAGTTTATCTTTAGTGACATGTTGTGCTGTTCTAAAACTAACTCGGTGTGATTTCCCCATCACAAAATCTTCGCAGAACTTAACCTCTGTCACTTTACACTTCCCGAAGCAACCTTTCTTTGACAACAACTCGAATCCCTTCTGACCTATATGACCCATCCGACTGTGCCATAACTGAGCCATATCATCCTCACTATCAGCTCTCACAGTGGCTGCAGACTCAACCACTATTTCAGATGATACTGTTGCTCTACCTTGGAGGAAATACAGAGAGTGTCTTCTTGTACCTTTCATGAATACCGTGCATCCTTTAACCACCTTCAATACCCCATTTTCACCTTTGAACGTACATCCTTTAGCTTCAAGGAATCCCATAGACATAAGGTTTCGTGAGATGCCTGGCATATATCTCACTTCATGAAGAATGAAGGTTGTTCCATCCGGGTTTTCAAACCTGATAGAACCAATGCCTTTAACTTCAGTTATCGAATTGTTGGCCATTCGAACTTTCCCACTATCAAGCTCCTTCAAGTCTATGAATAGTTCCCTCCTTGGGGTCATGTGGAACGAGCAACCGGTATCCATGATCCACTCTTCTTGGTCTGATTCGCTAGAGCTCACATTCACCTCTGCTACTAGTAGTCCAACCAAATCACGAGCATCATCACGAGCCATGGAAGATTCCCCTGATCCTTGCATTTGCTTCTTATCTTTGTTCCTTTCCAGCCACTTGTAACACTGTTTCTTGAAGTGACCTTCTTTACCGCAGATCCAACAAACTCTTTTACCATCTTTAGATTTTGACCTGGATCGACTGTGATTTCCCTTGCCGGAGTGACCCTGACTTCCTGTTCTGGTCTCTGATCTGCCTCTAACATAATGTCCTTCTCCTACATTCTTAGAACTAGAGGCATCTCTAAATTCCATCTCCTTAGATCTAGCCGCACTAGCTATATCCTCTAAGCCTATAGCATATCTACTGTACTTTAAAGTTTCCTTCAAAGAATCGTACCTGGTAGGCAGAGCATTTAGGAGTAGGATAGCTTGAACCTCTTCTGGAATCTCTATGCTGAGATTATTGAGATCTGCAATTAGCTTCAAGAAATCATCAACGTTTTGATCTATCGTTCTTGAGTCTTGCATCTTGAATGAGTACACCTTGAGCTGAGAGTGTACTCGATTCGGTAAGGTCTTAGCCATGTACAGCTTATCAAGCGTTTCCCA